GTCCAATCCACTTTTTTGAATATGCGTGATTACAGTATTTGCCACAACTTCAGCATTACATTTTGTAACATTTTGTAACTGAGCGACCATCACAATAGGCAATTGATTTTCATTACTCCAGAATTGATAACAGAGTATTAAGTTTTTAGTTTGTCCCCGCGTCAACTTATCTATCATTACACCAAACACAGGTGCATTCATTGCTTAAAGAATTTGTCTATTAAAATTCAACTCTGAAACATCTTGGTGCCATGTACGTAGGGTGGATATTGATAACATTTTTTGAGAGGGTTCTCCAGTTAGGAATTCATAAATTAATCGCATACATTCAATGGTGGAGTGTAATGATGTCTGGCCAACTTGTAGAATGCTCGTTGCGAGCCAAATTGTATTTAAAAAATGTGATTTTTTATTTGATATAAAAATCGATTTAACTTTTTCACAAAATTCTTCATCAGTGATTTTCTTTGAAACTAAAGAACGGATTTCTGAAATATGCTGTGATTTTTGATCCTGAAGGTGCTGAGTTTTAGCACCAAGAGATTGAGTTCATCTAATAAGAGCCTTATTCTGCTGATAAAGTTTTTATTTTTTTTTTCTAACATTATATTTGATTTTTGTAAAGATTGATAACTTGCATGACGCTTAAAAAGATTTTGTGTAAGGTAATCGTACATTTTTCGTTGTAAATATGGTGAAATTATGTTTCCTGTACTTTGGCCCTTTGGATATCGCATGATTGAGACAAGATTAATCGCCGATAATAGATCCTTTTCAGGTAATTCTTGTATCATTGAAGTTAAACGAGTTCGCTGTAAATGTTCTTTATGTGTAATTATTGTTTCATCAATTAACATTTCTTCATTAGCGGTACATACTCTGTTGTTGGATATTTTGTTGGTGAATACTTCATTGGTGAATAATTCATTGGTGGATAATTCATTAGTGGATACTTCATTAGTGGATACTTCATTAGTGGATGCAGAATGTTCTTTTAATAATTTATTTCTTTGGTGTTTTTTATGACGTATTCTATTGGCATTTTTTAATTGAAATCGACATTTGTTTAATCTGTAAATACCCATTGAATATTATGAAATATTTAAATAGATATCTAGCCCTTGAAATCGGTTATTCTAAACCCAAATTTTGCACAAATCAAGGTTAAGTTTCAAAGAATAAAGTTACGAAGCCAAATAAACCTTTCTATTAAAAAAAAAAATATCAGTTACCTAAAGAATTTTTTAAGCGAACGAAGTAAAGACTGCATTTAAAAAAGACCAGAAAAAAATGAAATTCCCGTAGACAATGTAAAAACAAGCTTCGTAACTTTGTAAATATGATAACAATGAGCAAATTAACATGAAAATTTTTTGAATAAAAAAAAAGATGTGACCTGCACATCTAAAAAGGTGGACCACAGTTTTATACAGTTTTATATTTAAATTGTATCATATCAATGATCACTAAAAAAATCAGTTCTAATTAAAATTTCTAAGGGACCACATATAGTTTTGATTTACATAGTTTGCCGCACACCCCA